ATAGAGGGGTATGACAGCCCATGTTGAGCATTCAAAGATGCTGACTGTTAGTATCTGTCATGTCAACCTTATTCAGATTCTCTAAGTCAAAGTTATTTACCTGATTTAAATATTTATTTCCATCCTTATTTATTTTTGTCTCCCTGTATGTCAAGAGGCACATTAAAGTCTCTTGCTTTTATTGTAGTTTTATCCTCTCTTTCTATTTCCAGTAAATTGACTATAATAATTTTGAGTCATTATTATATGCATAAGGGTCATGACAATTAGATCTCCATTATAAATTCCATCATGTATCAGTATAAAATGCTCTTTTTATCCCTGTGGAGGAAAAGGGGGGCTTTTTGGAAAAGCTGGAGGTAGAGATGTTAGCAAGGACACCTGGGCTCTGGCGCCGCTTCCTCTCACAAGTTAAGAAGGCTGAATTTGGTCAACTTCCTTTAAACTGAAGTACATGGACTATTGGGCAAATTTTGTGTGATTACCATAGGGTAATGAGGTTAGTATGCATGGAATTTTATAGGATTTGTAATTTAGATGTAAAAGTGGAGCTTACCTGTAGTCAAGAGTCCCTAGCAAACAAACAAACAAACAAACAAACAAACAAAAAACACTCCTTTTTAGATGGCAAGCAGTATGCCCATTATTTGGTTAGAGCTCATTTCCTGAACCACTGGTCTTCTTGTTTATTTACCACCTTTTTCCTGTTTGATTCACTAGTTCATGTGGATTTTTTTTGTTTCTTATATTACTTTATCCCTTTTCTTCTTCAATTTTGTAGATGAGGAAACTGAAGTTCAGGGAATTACAGTGATTTTTCCAATCTCACAGCTTCTGCTTACCAATCACCTTCTCTTATCTAATCTATCCATTTATCAAATAGAAGAAAGTGTTATCTTAAAAAAAACAAGATGGGATCATACATACCACTGACTATTTTAAATCAGTTAACAAAGTTGTTATATGAAGGTAGCTCTGTGTTTGTCTACTCTTACAGCCATCATTCTTTCAATGTGACTTTCCTGGAGGAGCAGCACAACAGAAAAGGGAGGGAGAATGCAGGTGTGTTTTCCAAGCTTGTGGCAGAGAATACAAAGGACCTCAGTGTGCCACCACTTATATCTGTGTTAGAGTCATAAGACTTTTGACTGTTACATGAACAGGAGTCATCCTGAGCTGACTTTCTTACTCTGCCTCATTATTTAGCGAGTTCTGCTTTGCAGCAGCACTAACACACTAACAAATCTAACTGGCCTCCAAGGCTAGAGATGGTGGGCACTGCAAGTCAAAACAGAGTAGTTCCGTGGGCACAGACCTACTGGATTTAGGTCTTCTTTGTAAAGGCCTGAGCAGACATTTGGTGCAGATGCTCATACACTGACAACAGACACAGCGGATGACAGTTCTGAGTGGGTCATGATCCATGGAATATTGGGAAGGAAATGATCCATGGAAAACTGGGAAGGCCTCGGCTAGGACAGAGAGAAGTAAGAGCTACTTCCTTAACTGACTCGCAAGTGAGAAGCAGTATTTTCATTTGACATCGTTGTATGTATAAGACTTGAGCCTTCCTTACTCTGTATTAAAATGAGGACAGCCCAATGGCCCTTCACTCATTTAAGAATGGGCCTCATTTAAAAACGACTCCTAAACAAGTACTCTCAACTTGAGGCAGTTTCATGGATAAGGTGCTTATGAAACAAAGACCCCAAAGTCAGTGTTCAGAGGAAATATGTGTCTACCTCAAATATAAGGAGAGGGTCCCTTCCAGATATTACATAAGAGAAGAGATTGCCACCTTATATTTCCACCCTCACAAATCCTGTCATGTTATGGGGCATTCTCTGAATCCCTTCATTTTGAATGTCACAGCAGTATTTTGGGTAAGTTACATAAGCCTGAAATTATCTCATCAATGAAAGTTTTAGATGCTTGTAAAACTAATCTGGCAGAATTGGTTAAAGACTTTTTTTTTTAAGAGCAAAACTACATGGATTTAGTAATTACCCTTGGGTATGACCTCCAAATTGAACAACTGGGTATTGCTGTAAAGCTCTCCTTAAAAGCAGCATAGTAAGCACCTGTATTATTAAGGTCACATACATGGGTCTTACAGGACGAATAAAGACAGAGAAACAGCAAGTGTCCAAATATTCAGCAAAAATGTAATTGAGCCTCAAGATGAACTTCCAGTGAATGCATCACCAAGGATTCAAAGAGTGGTGTATCAAAACCAGCCTGATGGAAGTAAAAGACCATGCCCTGGAAAACTGTGTGAGATGACTTGGGAAGTGGCTCCAATGTTGACAAAGTCCTGATGACATGGTTGCGTATGATGAGTTTGAGTAAAATTTTCTCATAACACGTGAGAGTGGGGAAAATGCAATACTTGTCTCAATTTTATATAACATGTGATTGAATATGTAATGGATAATATACATTTTATATAATATGATTTAAAATATAACTAACAGAGTAGAGTTAATATTCTAAGCAGTTATCTATTTTGTTAAGGTTGGCCTAAAAATGTTTATTTAGGCAGTGTCACACTGTGAATTTGGAAAGCGGTCACTGCATATGCAGAAGCATCTTGGGTTTGGTCACACGCATTATTTATGGCACCTTGACTTCGCCTTAGTGTTGGCTTTAACTTCCAGCACTCCTTTCCTTTTGCGTCCTAGGCTCTAGGTTCCACCTGCCCTGTGCCTGCCTGTGACCCTAGTGCCTCTGGCCAAGAGGAAACAGATGATATCTATATCAGACTGAATTGCATACGGTGATGATTTATTTGTGATTTTTCAGGCTTTCGGCTCCTTGGCAAGCAACCTGGTTTTCATGCCCCAGCTTCCTGTTGAGATTTTCTCAAAACGATGTGGGACCCTCACCACACACACATATGATCTTAAACAATATCTATTAAGCCAGAGGAATGTCTATGGCAAGAGACATACTGGAGCTTGAATCTTCTCTGGTTGAGGCTGACTGAATAATGAAAGAGATGATGAGAATGTCAACAATTAATGAGATATTTTGCCAATTCATTGATTAAAACTATACGAGGGGTTTTTTATCCTTGCAAAATCCTGTCCTAACAAAAGCTAAAGCACTATCAATAGCAATTATTGAAACTTTAAAGCTTCTAATTCAATCTAACAAACATAGGCCATGAAACTTATCGGAAAATATTTCTTCTCCTAGGGACTGGATTCACTGGGCTGATGTGGATTTAAAACACTAATCCTGTGCACAAAATCAATTTCACAAACATGCAGTTGGAAGTCTACTGGACAATCTTAGTATTTTCAAGTGGAAAAATTATCCTACACTTTGATTCTAGTAGTCCTTCAAAAAAATTCTTTTATAATGATCTGTTGTTTTAGAAGCAATTAGGCCAATTAAGCCTGACAGTGTGATTTCAAGAGGGATGCTGTGTAAGCCCCTATCCACGATGAGAATCTGCAGTGAAGCAAGGAACAGCTGATGCATGCGAAGAGATGTGATTCCCGAGTGCTACCTATACACTCCTTGCCCTTGGGAAGGACACAGTGGAGTAAAAGGATAATGATGATGATTTTGGATTCCTGTTTAGTCCTTTTTCAAAGGGAGGAAGGTACATCAAAAAGCATTCCCATCAGCCATCAATGAAGAGATTTGGTATATGGAGAAAGTCTGTGACTGATGCATGAAAGGAAGAGAAAACCCACCAAAATTTCCCTTGGAGGTGAGTATTCCAAAGGAAGATCCTCATCCCATAGACGTACACAACTCTGAACAGAACAGTGCTTAAGGTAAAATAGGTAATAAGGAGGTCTGGACTTTTATTTTGAAATTAATAAAATGTGGTTGATCTATAAAGTGCCAAATTAGGTGTAATTGTGAATTGAGTTCATTTCCTGCCTGAATCAGAACAGAGAATACAGAAAAATATTCATGCAATATTATGGTGAGGGTACATTAACATGGTGATGGACAATATTAGATTTCATTTTGAAAAATAATATTGGGTTAAAACTGAAAGAGGACAGATTTAAAAAAAATTCTCATAGTTAGAAACACTTACTTTAAAATCTCACTAAACTCACCACAGATCATGTTTTCAGCACTACTATTCATCCTTAAGTCTATATCAGCAAAGACAGATGATGTGCCTCAATTCTGTTCCCTTTCTTTCTTTATTTTTTTCTATTGCTTAACAAGAATCAGAAGGAGATGCACTGCTTCTATAAGGCAGATCCGCCGGTTAATGAACATTTTTAAAAAAGATTTTATTTATTTATTTGACAGACAGAGATCACAAGTAGGCAGAGAAGCAGGCAGAGAGAGAGGAAGAAGTAGGCTCCCTGCTGAGCAGAGAGCCTGACGTGGGGCTCGATGCGGGGCTTGATCCCAGGACCCTGGGATCATGACCTGAGCAGAAAGCTGAGGCTTTAATCCACTGAGCCACCCAGGCACCCCTGGTAAATGAACATGAAAAACAATGCCGTGGCTAGATGGGTGTGACTTATGGATCTGTGGTCACAAAAGTGGAGAGTGAAACCACAGCTCCTCAGAAAAATTTACGTTTCTTTAAGTTGACTTGTGATCATTCTTTGAAGCAATTTGCATCAGTACCTAGCTCAGTTACAATAGTTGGTGGGGGGAAGTATTGGACAAAGAAGATTCTTTTATATCCAAAACACAGGAGAAATTACATAATTAGTTTTTCTGTAACTATATAATAATGTTGGCTAGTCCTAGATAGAAGAGGTAGTACAGACATCTATACTACCAGACTTCTAGTTTAGGATAGAGGTTTCTGAATTTCGCTGCTTCAGAATCACCTGGGCAACTTATTAAAAGTATAGACCTTAGATCAAAATCTCTGCATTTTTTATAAACTCCCTAACCTACATATTCTGGTGGTTCTGTGTCCCACAAAGCTTGAGCACTGCTGCTCTCAAGGGTAGTACTGGAATGTCTTATGTTGTAAATTATTAATATTTCTGATATCTATTACTCACGTGTAAACCTTAAGAACAAAATCCTTTTCTTCCTTTAATTCTGTGAGCGACTGCAGAACATCCAGGATGCTCAGGACAGCACAACCATATGGTCGCCGGTAGTGTAGGTGAGCAGGGCCTTTCTTTGAGTCATTCAGGAGCATCCGGCCTGAAGCACAGCAGAAAATACCAGTCAGACCAAGAACTCCAGGCTCCCCTCCAGTACCACCTGATTGTCATCCAAGGATGCCAGAGATATAGGCACCTTAGAAATACTCTAAGCTGGAAGACTAATTTAGGACTAAAGAGAGCCATGCAGGGATGCAGAATACTTATGTGGAGGAATGCCAGACAGGCCTTTGGCCACATTCAATTAATCATCCTTATTATCTACCTTAATACCATTAGTCCATTTATTAATCATATGAGAATGAAACAGTGGTTTTATGAATTTCTTAGAAAAACCACTGTGTTAGATTTAAACCTCTTTGGCATATTGGGGATACAAAGTTTAGTATTTTTGTTGCCAGGTAAAAGCTTTGTATGCAAAGGTAAGAACCACGAGTTATTCTTCCAACCAAATTTTGCTGTCACAGCTGCTCTTGAACCTCTGCTGGAGCGAAAGTTGTCTCAGAAAGAATGGGGGCTTGCTTCTCCCGCCTACCAAAGCTGTGCCTAATGGTGGCGGCAAGAGGACTTGAAGAAGCAAAACTGGAACGTAAGTGCTTACGAAGTACAGCAAAACAAAGTACAGCAAAGAGGTGTTTTGTTGGCAAAGAAGTAAAAAATACTCTTTGACAAAAAAGGTACATGATATGTCAGAATCCAAACCGTTGGAGGAAGACTTGGTTAGACCTAGCCCCCCAGATTACGCCATATGCTCGAGATGAGGCTGAGTAAATCAACCACAGAGCAGCAGCAAAAATCACTTTCGTCATCTTGGGTGGGGTAAAAGTGAAATACCATATGTCAGTCGAAGTAAGGGTAGTAACTCTTATTTTGTGGAAAATTGCACAGATACATACTTTGGATACAAAACACAGCAAAGGCCATTCGCCACATGTTCAAGATGGCAACCTGCAACCTGTAGTAAGATCTCTGAAGTGGAAAAGCTGGTACAAAGGCAAAGCACTGTGGTGGAGAGAATGTTAAAAGAGCAGACCACTTGAAATAAAGAGTTTGGGGTTTGGGTCTAAAAACAAATAGGGAGCAGAAGATTTCAAGTGAAAAAAAAAAATGCTTTCATTCATGTCAAATTCAGCTACCATAGCAGCTGAGCTTAAGGCAGAGTTCCAATACAAGCTGGACTCCCGTCCTGAGACCTGACATTATAGGTAAGAGCTATGGAGATGAGAAAGCTCAAACATAGTAGTAGATACTTATCCCAAGGTGGGCTGGTCTTAGTCATGTGAACGGATAAGGTCGACAGTACCTATTCGTATCACATGGGCAACTATATATAAATCTCTCTTCATATCTTTGCTGCTCAGATCCTAAGAAAAGAAAAAAAAAAACAAGTAAATTAAGACAATGAATATACTGAAAATAATTAAAATTTCATTTCAAAACCTCATAATCATCTGTTTTTGTTACTTTTAGCATATGTTATAGGTGGGGAGGGGGACTAAAGCATACAGTGGTTTAGTGGTTTGTAAGATTCCTGTGGCCAAAGTGTGAATATCTTATCTGCCTCTGGAAGTTATTTTATTGATAATACTTTCCCAGCTTTTATTTAGAATAGCCAACAGTTCTCACATTAGAAATCTTCATATTATTGCCTTGTCCATGTTTATTCGAACATCATATAAAAAACATTTTGTAACAAAAGAAATGTTCAATGCAGAACAAAAAATGGAAAACACCAATAAGCTTATTAATGACTGAAATTCTAAAATTTTACTCTTTACTAATTTTATGTTTATTCTGTGGTCCACAATGATTATTATACACTAGATATCTTCCCTTGAGAAAAGACTAATTTGGCCTTAGTGAAACCTCAATAATTTGATCTCCATTTCTAAATTTAGATATGCATCATTTGTACTGAAGTATAAAGCTGAAAATAATCTTATCTGGAAAATTCTAAGGGCTTCCTTTAAGTAAACGATCTGATCCAATCAGTAATTTTTAAAACTAAAGTTATGAAAATAATTTTGTACATTAAATTATTTATGTTTAGAACACATTTTGAAATAAAGTGTTCATTTATGGGTATGTATTTTACTTTAACATGTTGTACTTAAAGTAATAAAACTTTAATATATACTCTGTTTCAGACTTCTCACCAGGTCAGCTAGCTGCTCACTGAGACATTGTTGTGAATTAATGATGATTGATGGAATAACCTCTGTACTTAATGGGACAGTTTCTCAAGATTTCCCTTTTGCTTCTAGGAAAAGGTCCCTTACTTAGTTCCCTGTCTTTCCCATCTTTCATCTCTTGACTAGTCCCAGATGCTGTCTCTTTTTAAAAAGGCAGGGAAAGGGACAATCAAGTGACAGTTAAAATTTCAAATGAGCTTTGCAATTCAGAGTCCCCATGTTTGCTTTATTTTTATACCTTGTTACAAGGTTAGGACTTGGGTAAGGCAAGAAAGGTACCCAAGGTGCAAAGTTAAAGGGGGTCTCACTCTCAGGAAGCTGTGCTTTGCTTGCCTTACCATAGACCAGCTCTGCCCTGTAGAGCAGTCCTAGACATATGAAAGGAAAGGAGACATTAAAAAGTAATGTGCAGTGTGCAAACCTGGCGATTCACAGACCTGTACCCCTGGGGATAAAAATATATGTTTATAGGGGCGCCTGGGTGGCTCAGTGGTTAAAAGCCCCTGCCTTCGGCTCAGGTCATGATCCCAGGGTCCTGGGATCGAGCCTCACATCGGGCTCTCTGCTCGGCAGGGAGCCTGCCTCCTCCTCCTCTCTCTCTCTTCCTGCCTCTCTGCCTACTTGTGATCTGTCTGTCAAATAAATAAAAATCTTTAAAAAAAATATGTTTATAAAAAATTAAAAAAAAAGTAATGTGCAATGGTGAAATTGAAACTTTTAGATTCTAGATGGTTATGACATTTCACCAAATTCTTGATGGAATAACAAAGTGCGCTTATAATGAAATAGGATACAAAATAATTTAAGATAAATGTGTGTCTCTGGAATCACAAAGAAATATTTTTACATGAAAGTTGTCTTCTGAAACTGAAAAAAGATGGTTCAGACTCCATCTTACCACTTCCTTTAATTTAGAAATGGAATTTAAAATGATACCCTCAAATATCTCTGTATTTTGACACCCATTAAAATGGTTACTAAATAACAAATAAAAATTTAAAAAAATCCACATTACCACTTCTTTGTGCTTTTTTAGGGATTGAAACATGTCTATTTACTGAAAAATATAGAAATGTTTGACACATTTAAAAATGTAAAAAAAGGGGCGCCTGGGTGGCTCAGTGGGTTAAGCCGCTGCCTTCGGCTCAGGTCATGATCTCACGGTCCTGGGATCGAGTCCCGCATCGGGCTCTCTGCTCGGCAGGGAGCCTGCTTCCCTCTCTCTCTCTCTCTGCCTGCCTCTCTGTCTACTTGTGATCTCTCTCTGTCAAATAAATAAATAAAATCTTTAAAAATAAATAAATAAAATAAAAATGTAAAAAAAAATTTTTTTTGAAAAAAAAAAAAAAAAAAAGAAATGGTTCCTTCTACATAGCTTGGAATGTATTAAGCCAAACTATCAAATAACCAGTATGATGATTAATCTCTACATCTACAAATTCAAGTCAGTTACCAAAGTTGATCAAACACTAATCAGATCAGTTGTACACATGAGCACAGGACCTCTCTCTTGGTTCTAAGTGAATGAAAGGAAGAAAACTGAAATATAATTTATGGTATTTTCCAAGTAGATGGAGTAGGTGCCCTTTCTGACCATTTTGTATTTGGTACCCAGAACTCTCTGTGGTATTTATTTTAAGTCAATAATATAAAATGGGAATAATCTGTGCAAAAAATATTTTATGTGAAATTATTATTTGTGAGTCCCACATAATTTCAGTGTGAAAGCTATCTTATTAAACATAGGTACATGGTTAAACACAGTTACCACAGAGTTAGTAAACACTCACTGTTCAAGACTAAGTACCAAGTGTGGCTATCCATGTTAAAATACTCACAAGACCTATAAAACTAAGATGTGAAGAGGGATTCCCACCATTCATTTGGTGAGCAGAGTTTGAATTTAGATTTACCCTCTGGAGCATACCCTCCAATCCCACATAATTAAAAGCTGGTTCCCAACTACATGGTAGTCATAGGGGAGTGACTCAGGGCTTAGCATCTTGGACTCAGTTCCTGATGCTCCATTTGAAACACGGAGGTGTCAACTCACTTTCCTGTGCCTGAACTGCCCTTTTTCTGTAGAGATAATGGGATTTGCAAAAACAAAACAAGGCCAATTTATTCATGCTTATGCTACAGAAGAAGCAGAAGCTATAAATAAATGTAGAAAATATAATGCCAATGAATGCAGGGAAAACAACACAAGTTAATTTTCTGAGTTGGTCACTCAAATATAATAAAAAATAAACATATTCATTTACTTTTATAACAAATCATTATCGGGGCCTTCATATTTGCCAGGGACTGTATGTTAAGCACTGGATGTCTACTAAAAAAGTAAATTCACAGACATGTTCTCACATGCTCATATACATAGCCATTGTTACTCATGAAAGTTAGGAAATCACTGTATTAGACATGCACTGTATTAGACATTCACATAAATATGAAACACCTCCTTCTGGGTAAAATTCTTTCTGGACAGGAAGCTCTGAAATCTGACAAGGTTAGAAAAAACCCCGATTTTACAGAGAACAAGGTTGAGTCATGAATAATGTGCTGGTCTATAACGTGGCTCTGAAGTCTGCTTGAGTAATCTTGCAAAACCGCTCAGTTTGTAGGCCTCCCTCTTCTTGATGCTAAAAGGTAAGCTATCAAGTTGGCACTGACCATAGCTGTGGCTGCATTTTCCTGCATTACTCTCAAACTCTGTAGCACATATGTCAATCTGGAAAACTCCTTTAGCTCACAGGAGGAACTCAAGTCTTAGATGAGAAAATAGGTTCCACCAAAATTAATATTTCTCATTGCTTAAAGTAAAACATGAAAATCCTAGATAAGACAATCTTGTGAAAAAATTTCATGTGCTTTGTAAAAATTTCTCAAATCGCTCTTTAGGATCTTAAAAAGCAATCTGGGGCTGTACTGCAAAGGGAATTACAGAAGTGGTATTTTTAGCAGCCTTGTCTTCCCATTGTGGCAGAATAAGAGCACATGAATGTTATGTGCATCTTTGATTTATAAAGTCACAGCTACAGCTTAGGCCTCTGGGCCCATATAGATAATTAAAATGCTACAAAATGAAAATTTCAATTTACTGTAATTACATTCAAATATCATCATAATTAAGTTCATTTTTCAAGAGACAAGGACTGCACTCATCATATTCAAGGACAGTCATACATACAGCTCTATCCACGATGTCAGAGAACAAGGAAGCAGTGATTTCTTTTGCTGCTTTATCAGAGAATCAGGGTCTAGAAAAACCTCCTAAGGTCAGTGAGGCATTCTAGACAGATGGGTGTCTCTTTTCTTCCTATTTCTGTTTCAGAAAGGTGGCCACAGAGGACCACTTCAGTGTTTACACACTCTCACTTCAGAAGCTCTTTCCCAATATCCTAACCTAAATCCCAACTTGTACTCTTTCCCTCGTTCTTTTCCTACTGAAGGAATAGTGTTGCTTTCCCCAGACAAAATCATCTCAACTCCCTTAACTGTCTTCATGGGTCTGCTTTACCTGCTTGTTCTTCCTGCATTGTCTCCTAAAGTTTGAATGCTGAGCTCCAAGATGGGCTAAAAAAAATCACTTTAGCTTAACCAGACTTACAAATGTTTCTGTACATCTGGAGAGTTTTCAACAGAAACTGTCCCTGTGAAAATGGCTTCTGATTCTGCAGTAATGCTGTTTGAAGCTTTGAAAGATAAAGTTGTAGTAAATGAACAAAAAAGTCATGTACTCGCCACATATATGTGGTATCAGTAAAACATGTAAACAAATCCAGTTTTATCTTTCAGAGAAAGCCACATATACAATGCCTAGAGAAATCCTATTTGTGTTTAAGAGGTACACTGTAAGCTCTGAGACACCTAACTGTAACCCATCAATCACGCACCCCACACCAGGGCAGAGGCACTGTGAGACTATCATACCTCCTGGCATTAATGGGTCTTAATGTATCTCACTAATACTGAAGCAGATCAAAGACTCCGCAAGAGTCAAAACTGGTTTAAAATTATAACACAGTCTTGTTTTCTCCTTCAGCAAATAAACAAAGCTGCACACTAGTTTTCTTTAAATAAAAAAATATTTAGTAACTCAGAATCAACTTGAGGAATACACAAGGCAATGTGGTATTGTTAGGCTGAGCACTTTCCAGAAGCAGATTACTATGTCTTCTCTGAGCTGATGAGTCTGTGATCCTGGAGACCATGAATGACTACATGGTTATTTGGAAAAAATGAAAGTATAGATCACAGTAGGAAAAGACCCTCCATTTGGATGTAAGAGAAAAGAACTACTTAGTTTGTCTCTCTTTATATGCACTCACTAAAAAACTGCAAAGCTGTAAATTTAGTGGATGCCTTTAGAGACATTATACTTCTACATCAGAAAAATTCCCAGTGGCCTTGAATAATAGTAAGAAAGACTTCTTTCAGATTTTGTCTGTTATATTAAAAAGCTTCTAAAATCTACATTAGTAAAAGGTATTTTATTATATTTCTTTAATAAAAATTCAATTAAAAACTATAGCTGATTTCAGTTTTCTTTAAATATTTCATTAAAATCTGATAGAAACATAAATCAAGTCCTAATCTCCCCAGTGTCTAAGAATAAAGGGAGGTAAGAATAAATACTTGTTTCCAGGGTGACAATATCCACATAGCAGGCCCCTGGGTAGAGTCAACAGCAGAGAAGGGAAAGAGAATTTGCACATACTGTAAAAAGGGCACACATTCGTTCTATCTTCTCTGGATTCCTTGGCCCACCATTCTTGTTCAGTCTCACCAGAAACCGCTCACTGAAATGTAGGAGAGAGAGACAGAAAAATGTAAGGGACCACATGCTCCAGAACAAATAAAAAGGGCATTTATAGAGAAACCCTAAACACTGTCAGAACAGCTCTTAGTGACAGGCAAGGCCAAAATTACATGTCTAATGTCGGGACACTATTTTTCTTGCCAAGCAGCATGCAATGGACACTACAAACTGCCTAACAGCTGTTGCTGTTTCTCTGCTGGCAGCAGCTCTCCTTTCCCTAAAGGTGTGTGCTCCCTGAGAGGAGCAATGAAGACTGTATCTTCTATTATTTTCCAAATACCCGCAAAGCTCCAGTCATAACATAGGCCCATAACAGACACATATATTCTCTGATGTGAACACTCAGATCATAAAAATATCCACCATACTTGAGCCAAAACTGTCTATATTACCCAGTTTACATCTTCCCATAGAACTCTTAAGAATCATTTCAGGACTAAGAAAAAAAAATGTTACAGAGACTTAGAAAAATTTGAGCAAAAAGTCAAAGAGAAATAATGTGTTATAACTAGAGTTGCAATCAGAATTTCATAGGGCCATTAAAACATTCTATTCCACAAACAAGACAGGTTAACTCCTAAAGTAAATTACTGGATTCAAAAACCAGAGATAGTGTTTGTGACAACCGGAGCAGTATCTCTTCGCTCTCTCACTCCTGCCTGCTCCTGCCCAGGCTCAAATTTTTCTACCTCTTCATCCCAAGGCTCCCCATCAACTGCAACAGGGAAACTGAGCCATGGCACAGACCACATTTCTAAAGCAATCAAATTAAAATTCTAAAAATAATTTACTTCTCCTGTGCCCATAGTCATGTACTCTCCACGTATATGTGGTATCAGTAAAGAGGTCAATATTAAAATATTGTCCTAGAATTATAAGATATAATATCAACTTTCTAGGTTGCTTACTTTGTTCATGTGTTCATCTGTTCATTTAGTCAACAAATAGTTATTAAGTTCTGTGTGCTAAACGTGGGAATATAAATGTGAACAAGATACACACAAGGTACTTTTCTTCATAGAGCTTGTGATCCTGGTAGACAATTAAATATGCAGAAATGAAGCTAAAAACTATTGGGCCAGATATAAACTTGAGATTTTTTTCAGCCAGGGGTTTGGATGGCAATAAGGAGAGAATGTGCATAGAAGGAGCAGCAAAAAGGGCTTTGGTCAGAATCCTGAGGGATGTTGATATTTAGGGGAAAAATAAAAGGTAGAACTAGCCAAGTAGACACATGCGGACAAATAGAAAAGCAAGAAAAATAAGGAGGAGGTGGGATGCTATGTTAGTCAAGGGAAGAAAATGTCTGAAAGCTGGGGGGGGCAGGGGCGGGGAGGAGGGGTCGGCGAGTTCTAAGGTCAGTGAGAATCACAGGAGACAAACACAAGAATGTCTCGGAACACAGATTCTTGCAATAACAGTTTTAGTGGAATGGTAGAGAAAGAGCCCAGTGTGAGGAGGAAGAAGTGAGGAGGCAGAAATAGTCCAGACTCCTTTTTAATAAGTGGCTGTGGAAATGTAGAAGTGAACTTATAGTTGAATGGGCATATTGGGTTAAGGGAGATCTTAAATTTTTTTTTTAAAGATTTTATTTATTTGAGAGAGAGAACGAGAGAGAGCAAGCACAAGCAAGGGGGAGGGGCAGAGGGAGAAGCAGTCTCCCTTCTGAGCTGGGGAATCTGATTTGGGACTTGATCCCAGGAGCCTGGGATCATGACCTGAGCTGAATGAAGGTAGACGCTTAACCAACTAAGCTACCCAGGCACCCTGAGGGAGATCTTTATTAACATGTGGGATAACCCTTATGTTTACACTTAATTAATTGTCAATAAAGGCACCAAAATTCAGTAATGGAGCACAATAATTTCAACAAATGTTGTTTCAGAATCCAAATGAAAAAACTAAACTTTAATCCTTGCCTACAAAAGATTAACTTGCCTAAATGTAAGAGTTAAAACTATAAAACTGTAAGAAGAAAACGCAGGAGAAAAATGAAGACAAGTATCTTTGTATATTTTATTTACATTTGTATTTCCACAGTTAGCATAAAAGAGAAAAATCTTTGTGATTTCAGATTACTAAGTGAATATCATGAATCACAATGAAATGGTAAACTGAACTTTATAAAAATTAAAACCATCTTTTCTTGGGGAGACATTGTTAAAGTGAAAAGACAAGCTATGGACTGAGAAAATATTTACAAATGCTCATCTAAAAAAGGACTGTATTAAGAACATATGGAGTTCTGAGAGTTCTTTATAAGTAACAACTCAATTTAAAAATGGACAAAAGGGGGCACCTGGGTGGCTCAGTGGGTTAAGCCTCTGCCTTCGGCTCAGGTCATGATCCCGGGGTCCTGGGATCGAGCCCCGCATCGGGCTCTCTGCTCTGCAGGGAGCCTGCTTCCCTTCCTCTCTCTCTCCCTTCCTCTCTCTCTGCCTTCCTCTATCTCTGCCTGCCTCTCAGCCTACTTGTGATCTCTCTCTGTCAAATAAATAAATAAAATTTAAAAAAAAAAATGGACAAAAGATCTGAAAAGATCTTTCACCAAAAAACATACAGGGATGGCAAATAAGCTCAAGAAAACATCATTAATCATTAGAGAAATACAAATTAAAATCACAGTGAGATACCATTACACTCCTATTTGAATGTTTAAATTAAAGACTAAATATACCAAGAGTTGGTGAGACTGTAGAGGAACTAGACCTCTTGTAAATTGCTGAGGGAAGTGCAAGATGGTATGGCCAGTTTAGAAAAGAGTCTGACAGTTTCTTATAAAGTTAAACATATACTTATTATATGATCTAATCATTCTGCTCCTAGGAGAAATGAAAACTTATATCCACACTGAGACCTGTATGTGAATATTTACTGCAGTTTTATTCATAATAGCCAGAAACTGTAAAGAACACAAATATTCATCATGAGATGAATGGAATATCCATATAATGGAATATCCACACAATGGAAAATTACTTCACAATAAAAAGAACCACTGAGATATATAATAACTTGGATGAATCTCAAAAACATATACTAAGTGAAAGAAGCCAATCAATCACAAAAGACCATATATTGTATGCCTCCATTTACATTATAATCTAGACTAGGCAAAACTATAAGGAAGGAAACCAGATCAGGAGTTGTCAGCGCTGAGGAAGGAGGGCAGGGACTGACTGCAAAGGTGCATGAAGGAACTTGCTGGGGTGATGAAAGCTTCTACTTCTTGAATGTGGTGGTGATTCCACAATAGTAAATTTGTGAAAACTCACCAACTATGTTTTAAAAAGAGTGAATTTTACTACGTGTAAATTACAGCTCAACAACCTGACTTCAAAAAAAGACAGGGCACACTAAAGAACATTTATTTCTAATAGGACAATTTTTGTAGATGATAAGATACTGAAGGGAGGAAAGAGAGAAAATAATTGGCAAAGGAAAAAGAAGTTCCCACCTCCTTGGGGGAACTGAGAGAAATCAAGGAAAGAACAAAGGAGGAAACAACAGGTGTGGATACAAATAAGTTAGTAGTTTTAGAAGTTGGGTGTATCAGAGAAACAGGAAATAAGAGCATCAAAGTAACATTTCTCTGTTACTGAAGTTATCTATCCTAACTAACATGTATATATGCATTCAACCACCAAGTTAACTCTTTATTTATTTATTTATTTTTAAATTTCTTTTCAGTATAACAGAATTCATTGTTTATGCACCACACCCAGTGCTCCATGCAATACATGCCCTCTGTAATACCCACCACCTGGCTCCCCCAACCTCCCTCCCCCAGTCCCTTCAAAACCCTCAGATTGTTTTTCAGAGTCCATAGTCTCTCATGGTTCATCTCCCCTTCCAATTTCCCTCAACTCCCTTCTCCTCTCCATCTCCCCTTGTCCTCCATGCTATTTGTTATGCTCCACAAATAAGTGAAACCATATAATTTACTCTCTCTGCTTGACTTATTTCACTCAGCATCCAGTTAACTCTTAACTTGATGTAGGAATAGAAAAACAGTTTTTTAGGAAGTTTATGTCTTTTTCAGAAAATTTATCACTACTTCTGCATTCTTTGTTGAAGGAACACCTGCAACTGTTCTCATTGTCATATTACCAGTCTCTCAAGGACAGACATCTACCACGCAGGCTGCTGCTGGAACTGCTAGACCCACAGAAAGGTGTATGGTTTGGAGGAGCTACATCAAGATCTGGTCCAAAGATAAAAGATCCAAAGATAAAACAAATTCCAGAGTGGATAGGTCCAAAGATAAAAGGTCCAAAGATAAAACAAATTCCAGAGTGGATAGGGTTGCAGGCCCTATCAGAACCCAAGAATGTCTCTTTCCCCTCGACAGTGAGAGGAGGCCCCTGAGTTCTCATAGTGCCCACATAACATTCACATGTCCTAGAGCCTTTCATGCTTCTGTTTTCATCTGACCTTCACAATTTGTGAAACTGAAAATAATTTTTTTCCTTCATTTTATATGGTTTTGGATACATATCTAGTTATTTCCTGTCTTGCTAGCTTCTCCAATGGGTATGACAAGCAAATGATGTTTTCTTCTAACATTCAAACTATTTGAAAACAAACATTGGATAGCCAATGTTCCCCGAAGTCGTCGAAAAAAGTGGGAAACACTGCAGTAAACACAGTTAAACAGGTTTTTACCCACTAGGACTTCTCAGAGGTTTAAAATGTTATGATGTGTTTTGATACCAATGGGACAGATGACATTTGACCACATAGGGAGCTTTTATATAAGGCAATGGAGTCTGTACAGAGTTTGAGAAATTGGCCGAGAGCTATAGCAACCACTCATATTTCCCAAAGGTATGAAAGGAACTGTGGTTAAAAGAGTAAAATTTAAAATTTATTCATGAGATTTTATGAACATCCTCTATATGAGAGCAACAGGGCAGTTGTTCTCTTAAATAATATGAGTGAGAAAACTCCAATTCTTTCAAAAGAAAAAAAGAGATAATG